TGGGGTTTAGGCGTTTGCGTCTGCGCTTTTGGCTCCGAGGTAGTGTTTCGGGATTGAGATGTGGGGGTTTCCGAAAATAGGGGACCCTAATATAGTACCCTAAATAGTAGGATCCTTATTATAAGGACCCCAAATCAGTTTTTTTATTTTCGGAAAGTCCCATGTCTTTGCATGTTGATATGCAAGTTGGCTGTTAAGTGCTCTGTGTATTCTTCTCGTAGCCTCGCTAGAACTGGTGCCAGAACTGGTTTAGTTCCATGGTAAAACAGGGCGGGTTTACGTGGTCTTCCATTTAGACTTAGCATTAGCTTCATAATCTGACAACTAGGGCTTTGAATAATTGGCAGTTTGCAGCCTCCCCCTTGTCGCGAACATCTGAAGATGCTGTAAGGTATGTTGCTGCAACATACCACAACTGTCTCCGATTGTTGAGGCCTTTACATGAAGCCCTATTCAATGACCTATATTATACAAGCCGACTTTTAAACTTTTGAAAAACACTTGCTGTGATTATTCCGGCCCTTAAACTACAATTAGACTTTCCGTGGCTTTTGCGGGCCAGCTGCTGCATCCAAGTCGTTCGTAGGCTCGTCTAGAATCAAGACATTCCTGAGGCATCATGCTTGGGGTTTAAGGTTTCATCAGGTTCGAAAAACCAGGGGGCCTTGCAATGGCAAGGCTCGAAGAAACTGTCTAAAGCCTGGATATTCCAAGGCCTAAAGCCCCAAATCGAACAGCCCAAAACTTCAACCCCTAATCCTAAGCCTGAGCCCTAAACCCTAAACCTTGGTACGCGTCTGGGAAAAAACCACCTTGCTCACTCAGGTGCTCGTCGTCGCATTGCTGCTCCAGGGGTTTGGGGTTTAGGGAGCCGTAATACTTATGTCAGGGCAATTTGTCATAGTGTTGCAGCGACTGTGATGGGGACGCCAGGACAGTTACTTCTACTTAGTTATACTATAGTGCTAAAACACCACCCCGGAAGCAAACCCTGAGCGTGGAGGTCTTGGGCAAGTGTAGAAAAGTGTGGCAGGCGCAGTGAAATCGCATGTTTTGACCTACCCCAGCGGTCGTGCAGCACAAGCAAAACTGGTCACGATTTTGTGACCAGTTTGTTGGGTGCACTATGCGGCGCCACACAGAAAGCTTTGAAGCAGCAGACCCATGAGACCCAGTGGTACTGCTGGGTCAGGACATGAGACAGATGGCTTGCAGCAGGAACCGTGCTCAGATGGCACCTTGACGCCGCATAGTGCGCCCAAAAAACGACGCGCGAAGTCGTGCGTCTTTTTCCTTGTGTGCTACAAGTCCGCTGGGGTAGGTCGAAACATGCGATTTCGCTGCGCCTGCCACACTTTTCTACACTTGCCTTAACCCTCCACTGTCAGGTTTTGCTTCCGGGGTGTTTTTTTTTTCTGGGCCGCGTGCCTAAACCTTGGGAACATCACCTGGTCCTTGGGGCCGCTGTTTCTTAGTCAATGCCTGTTTGGGGGGGTTCGTGGGAAGTTCTTGCATGCACTGCGTCTTCGACTTAAGCTTTAGAGCTTAGGGCTTAGGGTTTAGGGTTTAGGGCTTAGGGTGTAGGGCTTAGGGTCTCTATTGAGCATACCATCCTATCTGCAATGCCGGAACTTCTCAGAACACTGAATCAACGTGAACTTTGCTTGGTCTTGAGGCCATGGGCCCCATGAACGTGGAGTGTTACTCGGTTGTCCAATCTTGCAAGGCAAGCTATCGCCCATAATCCCTAAGGCTCCATGTACCCATATAGTAGATACTTAGGCCTTAAAGTACCTATATAGGGACCCCTTTAAGGCCTAAGTATCTACTATAAAGGTACATGGAGCCTTTGGGAATATTGATACCTGATCAAGAAGCCTTGGGCCTTTATTAGGGTTCCTTAGAGGGATCCTAATGTTTTGCCAGGGTTTCTTAATCTGTTTCAAACATTAGACACGGTTCAAATAGCCGAAGGTAAACCTTTCAACAGCCTGCAAGAACCCTAAAGTCGAAAGCCTGAACCAGAGCCGAAGGTAACCCTTTCAACAGCCTGCAAGAACCCTAAAGTCGAAAGCCTGAACCCTGAACCCCCCCGCACCCTACACCCTAAACCCTAAACCCTTAAACCGTTATATGCCTGAAACCCTATAACCTCTAAAGATCTCCATAAAAAAACCCTTTATAGATAGAACCCTTTGAGGCACCCTATAAGGATCCCTCAAAGTACTCGTAAACCCCATAAACCCTAAACCCCAAACCCTAAACCCTAAACCCTAAACCCTAAACCCTAAACCCTAAACCCTAAACCCCAAACCCTAAACCCCATAGCTCACAGGTCTGGAGAGTTTGAACGCTCTGAGTCCTCCGCACCACAGTTACGCAAAGAGACGTAAGCCACCCCAATGATTGGGTTTTAGGGTGTAGGGTTGGTTTACTAGACCCTAAACCCTAGACACTCAACCCTAGACCCTGAACCCTAAACCCTAGACCCTGAACCCTAAACCCTAAACCCTAAACCCTAGACCCTAAACCCTAAACCCTAGACCCTGAACCTCCAAACTGCTTCACGGATGATCCCGGGCTCGGCTTCTGCACGAGCACTCGCAGCAGCTGCAGTCGCCGGTTTTCGCCGCCCGAGAGCATGCCAACCTTGGAGTTCCTAAACCCGAAACCCTAAACCCTTTCTAAAGGGCTAGGGTTTAGGGTTTAGGGTTTAGGGTTTAGGGTTTAGGGTTTAGGGTTTAGGGTTTAGGGTTCTAAGGGTGAAGGGTTTAGGGTATAGGGTTTTAGGTTTAGGGCCTAGGGTTTAGATTTAGGGTGTAGGATTTAGAGTTTAAGTTGTGGTGTTTATTTAGGGCTTCTGAGACTGAGTTTAAAGTTACCATAATACGCAAACCATTAGCAACAAGGAATGGGCTTTTGGGGGTTTAGGTTTCAGGAAGCAATCAATCAATCAATCAACATATATATATATATATTTATTAAGAATCCAAGTTTTTACACTATAGATCTCTATGATGGTAGCTTAAAGTAAGCTCCCTATCGAGAACCCAGAAACCTTAAACCCTACACCCTGGGGGGTTGAAGTGCTGCAACTAGGATTTCTGCTTCGGCGTTTTTACACTGAGGGCCCGCGTTCAGGATCACAGGGTTTAGGGTATAAACCCTAAACCCTAAACCAAAACCCTAAACCCTAAACCCTAGGGTTTAGGCTTCAGGGTTTAGGGTTTAGGCTCTAGGTCTTGGCGTTTCGGAGGTAACGTACCGTTCTTCCAGCGACGTAGGGATTCATGTGGATTCCTGTTGCGTGCATACTGGTCTACTGTGAATACGGTTTAGGGTTTAGGGTTTAGGGTTTTGGGGTTTAGGGTCTAGGGTTTAGGGAAATCAGCAAGAGCCTTGGAAACTGGCACAGTTGGACCCCATATTTATCTCCACAAATAACCAGCAAAGCCAGCGATTCTCTCCAGCACAAAGACGAGGAAACGCCAACCGTCATGGCACCCCAAACCTGATTAAACCCCGGAAGCCCAAACCCCAAAATCCTAAATCCGTAAACCTCTAAACCCTAAACCCAATCCCTATAAACCCTAAGCCCCTCGGTGAACTGGAATCGTCAAGCTCGCCACACTAGGAGGGTTGGGGATACTAGGCTCCTGCCTAAACTAGCCCTACCCGCATCTCCTAAGAAAGGAGGCTCAAGAAGAATAAGGTATTGGGGCAAATGTGTTCTACGCTGTGTATGTATACATATATATATATATACATATGTAGTATAAGGGGAGGGGTTCTATATATATATATATATACACACACTATACATATGTGGTATCAGCGGAGGGGTCCTGATTATTCGTTTTCCGACCTGTATATTCAAAACAAACACCCTTTGGTGCCTGGCCTGTGTGCTCCACCGACTCTGGGCAAAGTTAATGGCCCGGAGCATCGCCGCGCGCTTGCCCCTGGGACTAGGCTTAGGGTTTTAGGGTTTAGGATTTAGGGTTTAGGTCCTGAAGTCGTGGGAAGGGACAGGCCACTGTGCGCAACTTCAGTTTCAACATCCCATGATTAAGGAAACTGACTTTAAATCCTCATTGCGTTGCCACAGTAATTCCAGGGACATGCCTCTAGACCCTAAACTCTAAAACCCCCAAACCGTAAAACCCTAAACCCTGAAACCCTAAACCCAAAACTCTAAGACCTAAAACCCTAAACCAAAAACCCGGTCTTTAAGTCTAGGTCGTTATAGGGTTCGGGATTTGGGCGCTCCCGCGTTTCAGACGTTTACCCATAGGCCCTAAAGTAGCTCCTTTTTGGGGTTCATATATAGAACCCTATAAGGTAATCCCAAAAAGGAACTACTATGGGGCCTATGGGGAGACCTAAACTCTAAGCCCTAAACCCTAACAAGAGAATCCCAAAAAGGAACTACTATGGGGCCTAAGGGTAGAGCTAGGTCTTCATGCTTTTGGTTGCCTTGCGGGCTCTGGGCTCAACAGAACTAAGAGACCTATCTGGGTAGTTCTCTAAATTAGGGCCCCTTTTAGGGTCCTTCTTATAAGGGTGCCGTACTATACTGGGGACCTAAAAAGGGACCCTATTTTAGAGAACTAACCATCTTCTGTTAGGGCTTAGGATTTACAATTTAGGGCTTAGGGTTTAGGGTTTACATTTTTGGGGCTTAGGGTTTAGGGCTTAGGGTTTACATTTTAGGGCTTAGGGTTTAGGGTGTTACATTTTAGGGCCTAGGGTTTAGGATTTATATTTCAAGGCTTGCGGTTTAGGGTTTATACAGTTCTTTCCACCAAACGAGTGCTTCTGGGTCGGCAACATCCAAACAATGCACGAGGATTCGGTTGAGACCTGCCTAGAGAGCCCCCTGAAGAAGATACCTCGTGGTATCTAAGGTTTATTATCATGGTGTAAGGCGCCAGTCTCGAATTAGGGGGTATCGGGCCCTCCGGGTATCTAGGGCTGAGGAAGAAACGCCTAGTCCGTGTATAGCAAAGCTGGAATATAGTGCAAAGCCCCATTCTAAATACGTCTGGGTGTGAAGGCCTCCATATTCGACCCACAAAAGCCCTTGTAGAACCTACACAGACATAACCTACAAACACCCTACCTATCACCCTATAACAACCCTGATAACACCCTGACAAAAGCGCCTTAACAGGAACACCGACGTCAGGACACACCAGTTCTTTCGCCGAGGCTCTCCATGGACATCGAGGCATCGTTCTCGAGGATGCCAGTGTCGCCCTTATCCACGGGCTTCGGGTTTAGGGGAATCAGGGGCTTCGGGTTGAGAGGAATCGGGGCTTAGGGTTTAGGGGAATTAGTGTCTGAGGGTTTATAGGGAAATTCGGGGCTTCGGGCTTAGGGGATTTCGGGGCTTCGGGTTTAGGGGAATCAGGGGCTTAGAGTTTAGGGGAATTAGTTTCTTAGGGTTTAGGGGAATTAAAGGCTCAGGGGCCCCCTACACGTGGAGATCTGGGTTTAGGGTTTTAGGGCACCTTAAACAACGCAAAAAACAGTAGGTCATGGACCCTAAACCCAAAGCCCATGGACCCATCACCCCTAAACCCTAAATCCCTAAAGCCTAAAAACCCTAAACCCTAAACCCCAAACCCCAAACCCTAAACCCATGGACCCATCGTAAAAAAAGTAGGTCGGGGGATCCACCGGTAGGAGTATACGGTTGGCTTGGAGCTTCGGGTTCGCGGCTGAGGGTTTAGGGATTTAGGGTTTAGGGGTTTAGGGTTTAGGGGTTTAGGGGTTTAGGGATTTAGGTTTTAGGGTTTTGCGATTTAGGGCTGAGGGCTTTAGGTTCAGGGGTTTAGGGTTCAGGGTTTCGGGATTTAGGGTTGCGGGCTTAGGGTTCGGGGATGCCAAAACCCTGGAGCCGACACCCCAGTTGTCCACTCTCGAAGCTCTAAACCTCCAGTGCTCGAAGGGTTTAGGGTTTAGGGTTTAGGGTTTTGGGTTTAGGGTTTTGGGCTTGGTTAAGCAACGTCTCTGACTTAGGACAGGAGGCTTGTAATCACTTCTGCTCTTCGCGCTTGTGGTTTTCGATTTGAGCTGTGCTCCTGCTTGCAACGCTGTGTGGCTGCCGTTTGCTCTGGGAGGTGACCGACATCGAGTGTTGCTGTAGATTCAGAACCCTAAACCCTAAACCCGAACTCCCTGAACCAGCAAGTGTTCTCACAATGACGGCTTGCATACCAGAGACCCGCTGTGTAGACCCCCCCCGATTCCCAATAGCACTAAACTAAACTCTAATCCCCAATTCCCTCAATACTTGGAAACTTCGAAACCCAACCCCAGAAAACGAAAAACCGAACCCCTAAACTCAAACCTCAATCAAGCCATATACCCAAAACCCTAACCGCCTAAACTTCTATCGCTCCACCTGGCTCGTGGCCGCGATCGCCATTTCCTCAAGCAGCGCAAACTGTGAGACACCCGGGGTGTACTTAGAGGCCCAGGGGACTTAGTATGTCGGTTATAAGTAGGGCTATATTTGAGGTAACTCCAGTTAGGGTACTTATAACTCTACTTATAACCTACTTACTAAGTCCCCTGGGCGTCCAAGTAGGAGGGTTTAGGGTGCAGGGTAGGAGGCTTTGTGGCTTTGGGCTTAGAGGCCTTGCCCGACGAACGCAGGCAGATGAGACCTACGGCGTGAACTGAAGACAAGACACGGAAGGGTTGCATGGGAGGCTGTACCTAAACTCCAGACCCCTGAACCCCTAAACTCTAATTTACATTTTCGGGGTTTTGGGCTTGCGGTTGTCCGGTCTTCCTGTGCGGAATCATCTGCAATGGCATTGCCGTTTCAAGTAGTAAGTAGACAGATACTCAAGGTTTAGCGTATTTTAGTCTTTAAGGTTTTATGGTCTGAGGTTCAAGACTGAAAAACCGATGCTCAGGCTTTAGCGAAACCCTAAACCCTAAACCCTAAAACCCTGGACCAAACCCTAAACGGTTTAGTCTGTAGGCTTTCATGGTCTGAGGTTCAAGACACTCTACACTGTACAACCTACCGAAGAGACGGGACTACTACGAAACTTGTGGTGCAGAGAGATCAGCACTGCAGGAACAGTCTGTCTGTTTAGGGTTTAGGGTTTAGGGTTTAGGGTTGTGGTGCAGAGAGATCAGCACTGTAGGAACCGTGTGTGTGTGCGTGTGTAATGTAGGGCGTTAATAATTAGAATACGGTTTTTGGTGTATATTATACTAGTAAGGAATCCCCCAAATAGTATATGTAATTATTAAGGCCCCTATAGTAGGTGAATATTCACCTCTATAACAATCTGAAGCCGGTGTTGGAAGGTGGGCGAAGGCCAAACGACGTTCACCAAAACCACCCTAGATCTAGGGCTTCGGGTGACGGTTTAGGGGTTAGGGGTTTAGGGCCTAAACCCTAAACCCTAAAACCCAAAGTTTAGGGTTTCGGGCTTTATGGTTCCAAAGCCAAATTGGATTTGCCCTCCAAGCATCCGCAACCACGTCAATGACCCGCTGCCTGTGACAGCTTGCAGCTTCCTATGGCTTCGGATGGTGTTTCTGAATCCCTAAAACCTAAACCCTAAACCCTAAACCCTAAGGCTTCGGATGGTTTTTCTGAATCTGTTGCGACACCGTCCCCATGCACTTAACATTTTAGACCCCGAACCTTGGAACCCTGAGGCCCTGAAGTAGAGGGTTTAGGGTTTAGGGTTTAGGGTTAGGGCTCCTTGCGTCGGGACATGGCGACATTCGAAGTCCTTCTGTCGATGTCGCGTTCGCAAATGGGAGGTGGATGGAACTTCTGGACCTGGAACCCGAAAAACCCTGAAACTAAAATAAGGGTTTATGGTAGAAGTCAAAAAGTTAGAGACCCAATAGCCTCTATCCTTCAGCGAAATGTATAAGGAACCCCAGCAAGAATTGTCCTCAATCCAGTTTCCAACTTTCTGGGGGTCTAACATCCTAAAACCTGAATCACTGAAACTTAAACCCCCCCCCATTTTCGGAAACCCCCATGTGGCACAAAGGGCTTCGTTAAGGGACAATGGGAGGGACCCCTCGTCCAAATACCCTGCCTATATAACCCTTATATCCCCCTTATATAGTCTCATACGGCCTAAACCTTAAACCCTAAACCATAACCCTATATAACCCTTATATACCCCTTATATAGTCTCATGCGGCCCGTATATAACCCCAAGGGTCCCTTTAAGGGTCCCTCCTTTAGTCCCTTGAGCTTCGGCTTCAACCGCAGGGGCTCCCGGGTTAAGGGTGGCACGGCAGCCGGTACGGCTCCTCCACGGCTTCCATAACGGCTTTACATTGGTCGTACAGCGCATATTCGAGGTTTCAGGGTTTAGGGCTTATGGATTTAATGGCTTGAAGCCCGAGCCTAAAACCCCCGGCCTTGGGAACTTCAGCTACCAAGGTGCGGAAACATGCTCGTGTATGTTGTGTATAGAAGCATGTACTGTAAGGACTTCCACTGACTCGCTGAAAACCACGAGGCCTGTTGCTTTCCGTATGCATCACCGTTATGTGTACTTGGAGGCCCAGGGGAATTAGTAAGTCGGTTATAAGTAGGGTTATATTTGGGGTAACTATAGTTAGGGTACTTATAACTCTACGTATAACCTACTGACTAAGTCCCCTGGGCCTCCAAGTACTCCAGCTAGAAGTTGCCCCACAAAAATCAGCCGAACACCCAATCAGTGCAAAGCGGCTTCGGATCCGGCCACTGCGGCGGATCTTGCGAGAGGTAGCCCATGAGCACCTAATCTAGCGTTCTTAATGATGGGGAATAGGGTTTTGGCATATAGACTCTTGACTATGGTTTTGGGGTAGATCATAGCAGAATTATGCTGTTGGGGTATGTCTTAATCTATATAAGTGTTTTTTGGATTTCATATAGATCGGATGATGAAAAAGTGTAAGTGTGGTGTTATAGCCATAGCTGACCATTCCAACCCCTTCCCCACCCCCATTTTCAGACAGATGGGCTCTTGCTCTAGTGCTTGGGGTGTTGGGTTTTGATCTTTGGATAGGTTTTAGGTCTTCGGGGAGGGAGTTGAGGATATTCGGATTTTGAAGCTTAGGCGCTTACTTGGAGGGTCGGGGGACTTAGTAAGTAGTTATTTTATAGAGTTATACATATCATAAACCCCAATTAGGATCCCTATTAGGGTACCTATACGTCTACCTCTTATCCACTTACTAAGTCTCCCGACTCTCCAAATAACATAGAGGCCGACATGATTACCTATACTTTGTTGCGGGTTCTTTATTATAATTATAGTATAATGGGCCCCAAAACCCTATTCTAATTATTAAGGCCCCTAAACCAAACCCTTATATCATAGCCATAACCCGTATAGTATAACCCTTAAAGGGACCCTGTCTGTTCTAATGATTAAGGCCTCTATTTTAATCCTTGTGAAAGGCCCTTGAGTTCGTCGGGCTGGTGACTCCAAGGATTTGCGGCTTTGGAAGTCGTGGAACACTGATGTAGGGGCCTTAATAATTAGAATAGGCGTTTGGGGGTTCCTTGAAAGGGTTCCTTAAAGGGTTCTATAAGGGCTACTATAAGGGTTTAGGGTTTAGGGGCCTTAATAATTGGAATAGGGTTTTGGGGTATATTATTACTATAAATATAAAAAGGAAACCACCCAAAAAATAGCATAGGTTATCTATCCCTATACTATATAGACTCTAAAGCTCACGTAAACCCTAAACCTTAAACCCTAAACCCTATCAAAGTACTCAGCCACCAAACGCCAAGGCCCTTCGCCCAAATCCTGAGCTCTTGCTTCGGGCAGCGTCTAAGGCTTTAGGGTTTAGGGATCCCCCGCCCTTTTCCGATTAGCGGCTTTGGGTTCGGGCTCTAAGGCTTAGGGACAGAAGTATGCGACCCAGACCCCCGGAAGGATCTAGAAAGTAGATCCCCTGGTTTGGGACCCTACTACTAAGGGGTACTTTACAGGAACCCTAAACCCTAAACCTTAAACCCTAAACCCTGAACCCTTAAACCCTAAAACCCATTAAGGGATCTACTTTTTGCATCCTCCCGACGAACTGGGGGAGGAGTCCCTGGGGTGACGCCCAGGCGCGCCGTCTCCGATGAACACGTCGCCGCTGCTGGGCGAAATGTCGCCCACCAAGGTCCTTAGTTTGAGGGTTTATGGGTTTATGGGTTTAGGGGTTCAGGGGTTTAGGGGTTTAGGGGTTAGGGTTTAGGAGTTTACAGTGGGGGTCAACATGCGTCCGCAGCAGAAGGTACAAGCCTTTTTGAGCAAGTTGACAGATGAGCCTTCTTAAGACGCCGATTGCTCCCCAAAACCACGCGCCCTATCACCTGTAGCCTCGAACACTATCCCAAAGGCTCCATGTATTTTTATAGTAGTTACTTTAACCTTAAAGGGGTCCCTATGTGGGTACTTTAGGGCTTAGTTATCTACTATAAAGGTACATGGAGCCTTTGGGTATATCCCCATGTTGGTCGGTTAGGGTTTAGGGTTTAGGGTTTAGGGTTTAGGGTTTGCTTGTCTTTTACTTGCAGAGAGTCTAAACCCTAAACTCCAAAGATAACCTGAGCTCTCCACGACATGCTCAGTCCTGAGAAACCCTCTGTACCAGAAGGGTTTAGGGTTTAGGGTTTAGGGTTCAGTGCAACATGCTACTGTAAACTACAGTCATACACCGCAGAAATACTGTATTCTCCTCTCATAGACCACAACATACTATAGTACACCACAACATCAGTGCAACACTGTTTAGGGGTTTAGGGTCTGTAGGGGTTGAGGGGTTAAACCCTAAACCCTAAACCCTAAACTGTTTAGGTTCTACAGAGGTTTCGGGCTTAACTCCGCAATCCCTTCTTTCAGACCTCAGCCCGACATGAAGCCAATCTAGACAGGGGTTTATAGGGTTTAGGGTTTAGGGTTTAGGGTTCAGGGTTTAGGGTTCTACTAGACCCAGCATGCCAACCACCATTGTACACTCACCTCCCGCCCCAAACTCAAAAAACACGTAACGCGACGCCCGAAAACAGCACCGAAATCCTGAAAGCCCGGCTCAGGCGCTCAAAAGAGTCCTGTTGCTACCCTGTATATGACCCCCCAAAAGGGAGTTTCCGAAAACTAGAAGGTACCTTATTTTTGGGGGGTCCTTATAATAATAAGGATCCTACTATTTAGGGTACTATATTAGGGTCCCCTATTTTCGGAAACCCCCATATAGATTCGATGTTAGGGGTTTCCCATCTAAAGAACCTACAAGAACATAGGTTATGGTAGTTCAGGTAATG